TCAGGCGCCCTCTCGGCCGCAGTTCGACGCCGAGTTCCGCCGCTTCGCCGTGCGCCGCTCGGGCGCCGGCACCTTCCAGGACTTCTACCGCCTGCTGCAGACCGTGCACCGCATCCCGCGCGTGGAGCTGCTGCTGGGCTACACCGACGTGCACGGCGACCTGCTGCCCATCAACAACGACGACAACTACCACAAGGCCCTGTCCTCCGCCAACCCGCTGCTCCGCCTCATCATCCAGAAGAAGGGTGAGTGCCGGGCGCCGCGGCGCGGCCCCGGGGGGCTCTCCGAGGCGCCRTCCCCGCGGCCTCCCGCGCTGGGGGCTGCCGCGGGGCTGCCCRCTGCTGCACGCTTCGGCACGGCTCTCCACATGGCCGGATGCGGCTGATCTTTATTTTTGGTTTTATTTGCTCACTAATTATCGCTGGTGTCTGCAGCGGGAGGAGGCCCCGGCCGCGGAGCCTTGTCCTCGGAGAGCGGCCTCCTCGGCGCGACGCCTGCGAGGGCGGCCGCGTCCCTGCAAGGGCTGCGCGGCCACGGGAGCCCCGCGGAGCCCGACACCTCGGGCCCGTCAGGGCGCCGGGGGAGCCGGCCCCAGAGGCGATGCCCTCCTGCCCCATTTATTAGCGCCGAGAAAAGTCCGCAGAGCTGCTGCTCGTGCTCCGGGACGAGGCGCAGGGCGAGCGGTGATGCTGCCCTGGGCGCCTCCCAAGGCTTTCCCCCGTATCGGGAAGCGCTCGCCTTGCGCCTCCTTCCTCCGGGAGCAAGCAGGGAGCGGGGGCCCTTCCGCCGCTGCCCCTGTGCTGTCCCGCGGGGAGCCGCGCTCCGTCCTCGGCACGGGCGGAGGGGCCGGAGCGGCGAGCGCCTCGCCGCGGGCGGCGGAGCCGGCCGGGCCGGCGTGCCCGGCTCTCCCTGGCTCCCGAGCGGCGCTGCCTCGCGCCCCGGCTCGGCCGGCTTTTCCCGTTGCCGGGAACGGGCTGGGCGGCCTCGCGGGGCCAGGCCGGCAGCCACCCCACCGGGAATCCCTCATTTAAAATGGATCCGGGTCAGCCCGGGGCCGGGCCGCGGCCTGACCRCCCGCAGGGCGCCCGGGGACATCCCGGAGGAGCAGCGGGAGCCGCGGAGGAGCCGAGGAGCGCAGGGCACCGCTCCACTCCTCCCAGGGCCCAGCACCAGGGCGGTCGCGGCGGCTCTGCTGCCCTCAGGGAGGGCTCCACGGCCACAGAGGCCGTTGTGGTGCCAGGCAGAGCCTGGGGCCGCGGGACCCATCCAGTGCCCCTGGCACGCGGGGGTGGCTCAGCCCCGGGCGCGCACAGGCCCCTGGCAGGGAGCCCGTCCGACCCTCCTCCTCCTCCTCCTCCTCCTCTTGCGCTGCAGCCCCTTGACCTGTGCTTGGGGACGGGTCCAGGGCGGGGGGCTGCCCCTCGCCGCCTCGGCCTCCGCTCTGCCGTGCGGCAGCTCCCGCAGCAGTGTTGGCCCCACGGGGACAGCCCCCGAGGCGCCCGCGTCCCAGCGGGAGCGCCAGGACGGTCGGAGCCGGCAGCTCCAGCGTTAAGCTGAAAGGTTCGGCTTAAAATGTGATTAAGGCTGGAGCGCAGGCTGGCTCYGCTAATCCTGCCGCGTGCGTGCCGGGTAATCCCGGAGGCGCAGGGCGGGCGCCGCGCGGCGGGACGGGACGGGCCGCCCGGCAGCGGGGGCAGCGCTCCGGGACCAGGCGCTTCTCGCGCTGCCTGACGCCGCTTCCCGCTCTGCTCCGCGCAGCCGAGTCGGACGCCGGCGTCTTCGCCTCCAACTCCCTGCAGCGCAGGAGGAAGGGGCTGCTGCGGCCGGCGCACTGCCGGGCCAAGCCGGGCCTGCTCATCGGCCTGCCCCAGGACTTCCGCCAGATCTCCTCCATCATCGACGTGGACATCCTGCCCGAGAGCCACCGCCGCGTGCRCCTGCACAAGCACGGCTCCGACAAGCCGCTCGGCTTCTACATCCGCGACGGCGTCAGCGTGCGCGTGGCCCCGCACGGCGTCGAGAAGGTGCCCGGCATCTTCATCTCGCGCCTCGTGAAGGGCGGCTTGGCCGAGAGCACGGGGCTGCTGGCCGTGAGCGACGAGATCCTCGAGGTCAACGGCATCGACGTGGCCGGCAAGTCCCTGGACCAGGTGACGGACATGATGGTGGCCAACAGCCACAACCTCATCATCACCGTCAAGCCGGCCAACCAGCGCAACAACGTCATCCGCAGCAGCAAGGCCTCGGGCAGCTCRGGCATGTCCACGGACAGCACGCCCAGCCCGGCCTCGCACTACCTGAGCAACTACAGCACGGCCGAGAGCGACGACGAGGGCGACGTGGTGATCGAGAGCGCCGGCGGCTGCCCCAACGGGGCGCCCGCCGAGCGCCCGCCGCGGCGCAGCCTGTCCCCGCACAGCCCGCGCGGCTCCCTGCGCTCGCTGGGCAGCCACGACGGCAGCCCCGGCCGGGGCGGCGCGCGCGACGCCGGCAGCCTCCTCGCCCTATAGCCTCGGCGCCCCGTGCCCTCCCTGCCGACAGCCTCCTGCACCGGCRCCGTGGGACCCTGTGCGGGCACCGGGCACGGAGAGGGGCCGTGGGGCGGCGCGGAGCCTCCTGCAGCGCCCGGTGCCGGGCGAGCCCTCACCTCTCCCCGCCCTCCTTCCTCCCAACCACTGGTTCTGTTTCGTTTTTTGTTTGTTTTCTAAATTGTTTTATCTAAATATGCCTCGTCGGTTAATATATTGCAAGGGACAGTAAAACCTTTTCTAGAAAGCTCTGTGTCCCGTCCGTGCCTCAGTGCGCCCGGCGCCGGGAGCGCAGCGGCTCCCGCGGGAAACACGTGTCCGCAGGCAGGGGCGCGGGGTGCCCACGCGGGGTGCCCAGTGGCTCCGAGCCCCGCGCGCGGCTCCGCGGTGTCCCGGGAGCGGGCATCAGGCCCCAGGGCCGCCTGCGCCCCGCCGGGTCCCCGCATGTTGGGCTCGGTGGCCGCTGGCAGCGCTGGGGCCCGGCTGCAGCCGCCGCTCTGCCCTGCCAAGGGCCCGCGCTGGCGCGGCGGCTCCTCGAGCAGCTCCCGGCCTGCAGGGCAGCGTCGCGCGGGGCTGGAGCGGCTCCCCAGGGCGGCCCCGCGGCAGCGCCCGCTTCTCCATCCCGCCCACTGGCCCTCATCCGCCTGGGCGCAGGCCTGGCCTCGCGTGTGCACCCCCGGCTCTCGCCCCCGGCCCAGCCCCGGCAGCCAGGCCCAACACGGGCACTGAGGCGCCTGCGCCGCCCTYGCCTGCCGCGGCGCCTGCCCTGGACGGCAGCAGGACGGTGACCGGCCACCTTTGCGGGCAACAGGGGCAGCAACGGGACCGCGTGCCGCCCMCCTCACCCACCACCGGGAACCCAACTGTCCCGCTCCGCGTGCCCGGGCTGTGAGGACTGAGGGTCCCAGCAGGACGGTGCGCGCTGGGCTGTGCCCAGAGGCGCCGCGGGCAGGCGGGGCAGCCCGGGGGCTCCAGCTCCACGTCCCCTCCCGATGCACTGGATCCCGCTGCCCTCGCCAGCGCCACCCAGCCCTGCCTCTGGGGCCTCCTCAGTGCCCCCCTCAGACCCCCTGCCTCTGGGGTCTCCTGGCAGCTGCCAAGGGCACGTGCCGGGATTCAGAGAGCTGCAGCCCTCAGGGGACAGCGCTGCGTAGCACCTTGCACCACACGGCTGCAGAGCASCCCAGGCCCTGGGCTCCAGGTCCCACCTGGAGCACGAGGATGCTGGAAGAGCCGTGGGGCCTGAAGCTCGGGGCGGCTCCAGGCCGTGCGCGGGGCAGCCGAGGGCTCCCGAGCGCTTAGGGGGCTGCTCAGCGCACACGGGGCCAGGCCCCGCAGCCGAGAGAGCAGCCAGGCGGCCGAGCCGGCTGAGCCGGGCCCAGGTAGGGCAGGGATAGCCAGGGGAGCCGGTGCCGCTCCAGCCGCACGGCACGGTGCCGCCCGGGCCGCCCCCGGTGCGGGGCCGCTTCGGTTCAGGCAAAGCTGCGCAGTTGCCCGCACGCACCAGCGGGCACAGCGAGCTGCTCCGTCGCGGCCCGTCCCGCCCGCCACAGCGAAGGCCTCTCCGGCCACCCTGCCGCCGTGGTACTGCCACGTGCCCCAGGCCTGGCCCGGGAGGGCCGCAGCGCCGCCCCTCGARCTGTCCCCAGGCGAGGGACCACGTCCAGCAGGCCCTGGAGCGGCGGCGCCAGCCGCGTGCCCACCCCTGGTCAGCGCTGAGGGCACACGTGGCAGCACAGGGGGTTGTGGCTGCCTCTCGGAGCAGCACGGGCGCCAGGAATGAGCCGTGCCCACCRCTCGATCTCGCCAAGGGCAAAACGGGCTCCAGAGCACGAGGCCAGAGGCAGCAGCAGGAGAAACCTCCTCTCAGTTTTCAGAAGGTGCTGAGAAACAGAAATGAGACCAGCCCGTGCATCACGAGCACGGAGAGCAGAGCCCTGTGAGAAGTCACGCAGTACAGAAACGACCGTTCTCCACCCTGCGTGGAGGCAGTAACTTCACTCATCTCCCTCCCCACCCCTGGACGAGGCACCAGCTCAGAGGTGAGCAAGAGGCAGACTGCGCATTAGCCCACRTACCAGCACCTGCACGAGCCCGGCGTGCCGGACCTGCCTTCCTCCCTCTCAAACCAACTACCAGCCGCTCTCCAGCGATGGAGGAGCTTCACGCACCCAGGCCCCAGTGGCTCAGGAGTCCAGTTTGATGAAGACCTTGGGCCTGGTGAAAATTTTGAGGGCCTCCTCTATCTGGGAGAGCTTTCTTTCCAGCTCCATGCGCCTCTTCTGAATGCTGAGGGTGTCCGCGCGCACGGGCAGCATCACGAGGTCCTTCACCAGCTGCTCTTGGCCTGCAAAGAAGATAAAAAAAAAAAAAAGGAAAGCTGATAAATGGAAGAGCAAAGAGCAATTTGTCCTAAATCTATGATCTTAAGAGTAACGGAAATCTAACATCATAGGCCCAGCCCACTCCAGACAGTCGCAGAATCCATAATGGTTGAGGTTGGAAGGGACCTCTTGAGGTCACTGAGTCCCACCCCTTGCTCCAGCAAGGACACCCTGAGCACGGGGCACCCGACTACATCCAGGTGGGTTTGAAGATCTCCAAAGAAGGAGACTCCATGTCCTGCAGAGCAGTCCTACAACACGCAAGTCCTACCAAGCTGCAGGGACCGTTCTTTCTGCACACACAAAACACACAGGTCAAACGTATCCAGTCAGTAACAYCTCAACTACACGTCTCATTTCAAACAAATCCTCCAGGGAGGGAGGGACGGAGGAAACCTCTGCCCCAGAACTTTGCTCTCCCTGATCCTGGCAAGGATCTCTCATTTTCCTGAGCTRCAACTCCCGCTTCTTTTCCTCTTACTCTGCTTCAGTTTGCCGAGGGTCTCGAGGCGCTGCTGCTCGGGCATGAGGGTGTGCCCGGGCGGCGTGTCGGGGTCGGGCAGGTTTCGCTGCTGCTCCTCCAGCTGCCGGCGCCACAGCTCCTTCCGCTGCAGGAGGCTGCCAAGGCACAAGCAGGGCTCGCGCTGGCACAGGCGGGAGGGAGGGATGCCCGCGCAGGACGGCGAGGGCGAACGGGCAGAGGTGCCAAGTGGCCCCTCCAAAGCCTCCCAGCCCCTGGCTGCGGCCTGAGCTCTCCAAGGGCAARGCAGGACCAAGACCTGCAAGGCTGAGCGAACTCCAGGCCTCTGCCAAAGCAGAGCTGTCAGTCCTGCAGCGTTAACGGCGGCAGGGGCACGTCTCCCACACCGCCCAGAGCATCCACGGGCTGCTGTCCCCACACAGCAGCACGCAAGGGAGGAGCAGACCRAATTCTTTCCGAGCCCAGTCATGCTGCCCATGGGATGCTCGTGGTAAGTCAGGAAACCAGCAGGGACTGAACATTTCCCCAGGCTATGGCAAACTGCACTGCCCACGTAGAGTAGGAGACACTCCTACACTCCCTCTCGTTTCTATCTAGGCAAAACGGGGGGATAAAGGGAAGAGAGAGGCTTGTCACCGGGCGTCTCGTGGACCGCCCTTGGCTGTACGTACTACTGGGGTACGTGGCCCTTCTGCTTGGCGTTGTACTCTTCCTGCTCCCGGTGCTTCTGCTCCAGCAGCTCGGCCAGGCTTTGCAGGGACTGGGAGCGCCGCAGCGGGGCCCGCTTGGCGTTGAGGGCGTTGTGCTTGATGAAGTCAACGCTCCTGCCCTCCATCTGAAAGGATGTGAATGCAAGGGGTGAAYGGGGACGTCACGGGACACCCAACGGCAGCTGACGTGCGACGGCGGGAGGGACGCGGCCGGCGCCAGCCCCTCCGCGGCGCCACGCACCCGGGAGCTCGCGGCCGCRCGCCACTCACCCTGGCTTCGGCATCTCCTCCCTCGGGAGCCCCTGCTCCCATCCTGGCAGGGCTCGGGGACAGCGGCCTGCACGGCTTGACGCCAGGGCCACACCGGGAATACGCCCGCAGGAATTTCAAGGCCTCTGGGATTGGAGGTGGGGAGCCCTCCTGAAAAAGGCGAGAAAAGACCCACTGCCGCAGGGATGCCGGAGTACAGAGAAACCCATTCAGCAACATTCGGGTGGTCAACCACACGCTCAGCCAAGGTTTCCAGCCGACGGCTGACAGCATCTCCTCTCTGCCACTGTTGGGCAGAGGTTCTCGGGGGCAGGCARTCCATGCCCAACACACGTGGGTGCTGCCAGACTCCAGCAACAGCATCCATCTGGACCTGTCCAGTGAGTTTCAGGAAGAAGCAATAAAAATAAACAGGCAGAAACCAGCTGGCAGATCATGTGTGTCTCCATAGAGCCCCCTTCTACGGACTCATCTTTTAGATATGGAAAGACAGCAACACAGGATGATCCAAGAGACTCACCCACCAGTGCTAGGGACACCCCAAACCACAGGGCATGCTGCGGAGTCCTGCTAGAGCAAACCTCAAGGTGGACTTGTACTCGGAGGCATCTCCAACAGCAATGCTTGGCATTGGCAGAAGGCACCACTGGTTGAAGTCTCAGCCAGKCTTGTTGCTGCACAGACAGCCCCCAACAAACCCTGAAAACTGGAGCTGTGGCAAAAGGTGACCTTATGATAAATACCACTAGGACACTGCTCTTCTGGGAGCTACAGGGCTCAATGGGGACCCTCCAGATCTTTAGAGTCACCCMACGTCTCAACTGCTCTGCCACCGAAGAACTGCAGTCCACTGATGGCAGATTCCTTGTCTGGTTACTTGGTGGTCCTCAAGACTGAGCAGTAACATCAGCAATGCTGCAGTCAGCAGGAGCGGCTGCCAGTGCAAGCAATGCCTCAGCACTGCCCAGCCTCCTCACGTTCCACAATCTTTTTTTTCCAGGAGAAGCCAAGAGATGCAGGCCTCACTGACAAGATAATGAGAAGTTCCTCTAACTAGCACAGAGCGTTAGAATTACAAATTAGTGATCTTAAAATTACAAACAAATTAGCAAGCTTACGCAGGAGTGTCCTGGCAGAGCACACTGTGCCCCAGCTCCCTTCGTGGGAGCACCAAGACACTGTCAAAGCCCTTTCTGAAGAAACTGCTACCGTTAATAGCTGCAGGTAGAGCTGAAAGAAAAGAAATCCCACATAAGACATCAAGACCTAGGAGAATCAACTTAAATCGCTCAGCAGAAGCTCCACAGGAAACRGAGATCCTGGTGAACACCCCAGCTCCAGGAGGATGGAAGTCACAGCTAAGGGACAGGCATCAGCACCAGGGCTGAAGTTTGTGTCAAACTCCTACAGAGTGGAGATGAGGAGGGACTTGGTGCAGCTTCCGAATCACTGAGGAGCAAGGCAGGGTTTGTGCACGTGAAGATCACCCGGGTTGAGCCGACCCACCGTGCGCACGAGCGGCAGCCCGTGGGGAGGCTCCTGCGCACGCCGCGTGGCCGGTGCCAAGGGCAGCACAGCAGGAGACCACGGAGGAGCACGGGGACCTGCAGAGGAACAGAGCCCTTTCCCGAGCAGTTGTCAAACCTGCAGCGAACGTGAACACGGGATCCAACGGCGAGAGCCAGCTGCTCCACAGCTAATGTGGAAGGCCTGCAGCTGCTCTTCCTCCTGAGAGGAAGGCATCTCTCATGTGCGACTGAAGCTGGGAGACCCCAAGAACCTCCTGAGGGTCTCGAGGTGGCCACAGCACCCCTGACTCTAGCCACGCACCGGAGAACTGACCTGCCATAACACCAGGAGCCACAACAGCCACTACTTTTGGCTGAAGGTAGAGGATGACTGAAGGCAAAGGTCACCTGAATGACAGAGGCCTCCCACGTCCTCCCAGATAATCCATCCCAGATGGATGTTCCCAAAGGCCATGATGGACCTTTCTTACCTCTCCCAGTGGGCCTTARCTTTACAGTCCTTACAAAGAGGTTCCCTCCTACCCAAGACAGCTCCATTTCGTACATTTTGCAAGCCCCCTTGACAACCTCAACACTGCTAGCCTCAGGGGAGCCACCGACCATTCAGAGAAATAAAAAAGAAAAGAAAAGCTTCCCCAAACCAGAGAACACGAGCCATAAATGGTTCAGCACGGAAAGCTCGGGAAAGACGGAGAACACAAGGCAYGACCCACAGCCCATCTCCCACCAGCACAGGTACAAGGGATGAGAAGGACCAAGAAGTGCAAGAAGTTCCGAAGGATCTTAAGGAAAAATTTCTTGGCAGTGAGGGTGCCCGAGCCCTGGCACAGGCTGCCCRGAGAGGCTGTGGAGTCTCCTTCCCTGGAGATCTCCCAAACCCACCTGGACGCAGCCTGTGCCACGTGCTCTGGGCGACCTGCGTGTGCAGGGCGTTGGACTAGGTCCCTTCCAGGGACTAGGGTCTGAGGTCCCTTCCAACCTTAAGCATTCTGTGATTCTACACAAGCTACAGGCTGAGCGAGAGCTACGAGGCCTCCACCTTGACTGCCTGGGCAGATGTTTGCCGGCACCCACTGCACAGTGAATGTYCACCAGGACAACTGCTTGAGGAAGCGGCTGGAGATCCAAGTGACCCTATGTAGGTGACCCTGAGGGTCTATACGCTCCTAGCAGTTGGACCAATGAGCAGCGGCCAGCAGCCTGCAGGGCTCTCTCCTTCTCTSTCCCAATTCCACGCAAAAGCGGTGAGCATCATGATCTGTGGGGCAAAATAGCACAGCTTTTACTGCGGTAAAACACAGTGAAGTTGAAAGGCTGCCTGGATCCCCCCAGGGCACTGCACATGCTGTGACGCCTGCACCACATTGCCCCAGGAACCACCCGTAGATCCCTGCAATAGAATGGCCAAGCGGGACCCTATCTCCAGGCCTACCGTGTCCCGTGGCCTCCCCTGCGTGCCCCGGCCTCAAGCGTGAAGAGCTCATGGGAACTGACCTGAAGTTTGGCCTTCACCTTCGACTCCACATTGTCGTATTTCTGGGATTTCCACAGAGCCTTCACAGGCTTGGGCTGGCTGTGCTCACGGGCTCGCTCCTTCTCCTTGCATTTCTTCTGAATCTCCTTTATTCGCCGCACGTTTTCCTTCTCGTGGTCCTTGGACTCTTTCCCTGCGCAGCGAGGGGAGAGGGAGCCTGCAGCCCTGGGGCAAGGCCAAGAGCCGCAGGCGCCTGGAGCAGCGGCACCAGGGCTGACAGCTCCATCACCGCAGCGAGCCCAAYTGCCCACCGAAACTGCGAGTTCTGCCCCCTCCTGCAGACTAGACAATCTGCTGCGTGTTTCCCTCCCTTGCCACATCAACTTAAGTGACAGCCACTACTCGGCCTCTTCTCTTCTGCTTTGGACTCCCTACTTACTCCGTGCCCCTTCCCTAGGGAGGGGAGTATCTTTGCTCTTTGTACTTCCCTCCACTGTTGCCACTAGCCACATATTTAGACCCTTTTCCAGAATCCTGGCCTCAGCAGCAATGAATTGTCCRGGATAAACATGCTCTATAAAGATGGATCAAGTGAAATCCCAATGTAAGCTTGACTAAGATGATACTGGCTGCCTTCAGAGGCAGTGAATTAGAGGGGCTTCATTTATTTCGGGCACCTCCAAACCGTGCCTAACCTGTGCCCGGGCCGCAGCCACACGGAAGGGCCCTTTTCCACAGCCCCGCTGCAGAGCTCGGCCAGGCTGTGGCCAGGGAGGCCACGGCAGCCTCCGCTGCGGAACGGGCCGCGGGCAGCGGGCCCTCCCTGCCACAACAAACGCAGGGGACTCAGGACACTCGCGTGTGCCGCGGGTGGGGAGCAGAGCRGGGCAGAGCAGGGCACAGGCGCACGAGCCCCGCGAGCTCCCGGTGCCCCGGCTGTACTCACCCTTCACCGGCAGCTCCCTGCCCAGGGAGATCCCTTCGAGCTGCAGTAAGAGACCGACCGTTCCCTTCTGCCCCTTTTCCAGGATGTCCCTTCCAGTGGGACGGATGCGAGGGGCCGCCTGGGCCTGGCGGGCACTGSCCAAAGCGGGATACGGGTCCAGGGGGCCGGAGGTAAAATCCAGCTGCACATTCCCCTCGAGCCTCCCTCGAGCTTAAAAAGAGAGAGAGGCAGATCCTGAGGGAAAGGCTTCAGGGAGCAGAGCATCTCGCAAGGGGAAAGGCTGCGAGAGCTGGGACCCTTCGGCCGGGGGAGGAGGCTGAGGGCAGGGCACAGATCCTATCAATACCCTGAAATATCAGACAGGAGAGGTAGAAACAGCACGGGGCCAGAATATTTTCAGTCACACCAGGTACCAGAAAGGCAAAGGACACAAACCAAGGCACGGGAAACTGTCTGAACACGGAGAAAAACTTCTTCCCTGCGAGGTGCCTGAGCCGTGGAGCAGGCTGCCGCAGAGGCTGTGCAGTCTCCTCCCTGATGGACACAAAAGCCACCTGCACAGTGCCCAGGCACCCGTCCCCAGCAAGGYGCCCGAGGCCATTGGTTCCTCCCCAGGGCTCCCTTCCCACCACAATCCCACCACAATCGTTCCGTCACCCTGTGAAAACGGGACCGCTGTCCCACGACAGTGTCCAAGAAACACCRTCCCGTCACGAGGACTCACCTGAGAAGGGCCGCTTGTAGTAGTTTGGGAAGAGCGTAGGGTCTGGAGGAATGGGCCCGGAGAGCTTGGACGGCCCTTCGCACATTCTGCCGCCACTTGGATCTGCAGCCGGCACCAAACAGCAGTGAGAGCAGCAGCGGGGAGGCACCGAGAGCAGCACCTACCACACGCTTGGGCTCCTGGCTCCCCTTGGAAAGAGCACGTGTGCAGCTAGAGCAACACCCCGCGGGAAAGCAGCAGCCCGGAGCGCGGGCGGCGCGMGGGCCCTCGGCAGCAGCAGCCTCCCCACACCTGAGGGACGTGAGCAGGAGCTGCTTTAGCTGCCCCCAGGGCTTCCAGCCCGTGAAGCTGCCGTTGGGCAGCGATGAAGCCCAAGAGCACCCAAGGGAAAACACCTTCCCCAAGGCAGCGCAGGGGCAGAGGCTTCATTCCTAGAGAAGAGCCTGGGACAGAAGGAGCCCCCGAGATCTCAGGGAGAAGGGATGTGCTTTTATAAAAGCACATTTTCTGATTCAAAGCAGAGCAATGGAGCCCAGCACAGGGTGACAGATCCCCATCCTGGCTGCCTCCTGGCACAGCCCGTTACTGCCTGGTCCAGCCCCAAGGGCTCCTGCCGCCTCCCTCCCGTCCCTGCCGCTGCCCCCAGCACACGAGCAGCCGGCACCCGTGTCCTTGGGATGCTCACCGGCATCTTCAGGACGGGAACCCTGGCAGAATTGAGGATTCAAACCCTCTAATTCTGCACCAGCAGGCACGGACTGCTGCTAAACCTCTGCCAGATGCCACAAGAGGTTCATCTTCATCCCCGCTTAGATCATGCCATAAATCCGACAGGAGCCATAGCTGCTTGGCCAGAGTCTCTAGTGCTCTGTTAATGAGCCGGGGCTGGAACCGACTGGCTCCCGAGTCAGCAATTCCAAGATTTTGGAGGCACCTTGATGGGAAGAAGCCCTTGCAGGATCCCGCAGCATCCTCGTGCTGAAGGGACGCAGCCTCTTCACGGCATTTCTGAGCCGACACACGCTCAGGACAGGGATGAGTGAGCCTGTCTCATGGCAACTAATGCACCGCGGCGTTCCCTGCTAAATCACCCTGGTTGATGCGAGACGCGTCGGCGCAACGCGGCGACGCATCCGCCCCAGCGGCTGCAGAGCGAGGCGGGCGGCGGGGCTCCTGCCAAGCTCTGCCACACACGCGCAGCCTGAGGCGAGAGGACGCCGTTTTGGTGCCACGTCCTCTCCTTTCTCAGCGGTGCAACCAAGAACCAAGCTAGAGTAAGTTCTCGCTGGCTCTGGAAACGTATCTAACTTTAGAAGAGCTCCCGGTTGGCCACGCCRACCAAGGGGGACGCAGATGACGCTGGACAGAGAAGCCAGTTTTGGCCCACAGCTGCCAAAAGGGGACGTGGTGACAACATCCACGCTCTCCCGCTGCCACGTCCATCCTTCTGCTTCGTTTCTTGGAAGAGCTCTGCGGCTCCGACGAGCCTGCACGGAACCGATTCAGCTCGGTGCACCCACAGAAAAYAACTCGCTGCTCTTGGTGGGTTCGTTGGCTGCCTCTTTGAGCTTCTGCCTGAAGACAACCTGGCTGCTACGTTCACAGGGCATCCGATAGCTCTGGAACAAGCACGGGACAGAGGCAGGCGCATTTGCCTGTGAATATGAAGYGAGGAAGGAAAAGAGACTGCGGGAGCCCTTCCCAGCAGTGACCTGGTAACCGGCTCAGCTGCCCCGGCTCATCTGCACCCAACAAAGCACCTTCTTTACCCTGCCTGTTAAAAACACAGGTCAAAAACACAAATACCTGATCGCCTTCCAGACGCCGTGAGAAAAACACTACGTAGGGCAGGCTGTGGTGTCTCAGAGACACAGGCTGCGTGCAGGCTCAGTCCTGCTCCACTCGGGCAAGCAGCCCGCCGCGGGCTCCTGCTCTGCCCTCTCGCTGCCGCCCGAGCACCCCGCGGCCCCGGGACTCCCCGGCCGGCCGGGCCGGCTCCYGCTGCTGCTTTCCGCTGCCTTTCCCGCCGGCACCACAGCCCAATCCTGGCCAAGGAACAGGGCTCAGCCCTTCCTTTCCCAGAGCAGCCCCAGGTCAGGGACCCTCAGCTCAACTTTTTGTGCTCCCTCCCACACTATCAAGCGGTAAAAACGCTACTTATTCCCCAACCAGTAAAGCAGTCTGAGATCCTTCGGAGCTGTGACTTCATTTGGTGGCCTGTTTTTGTCCTTGTAGTTAAGGCAGCTGCAAAAGGCACAACTGGACGCCGCTTTTCAGGTGTTCTTCTCCACCCGGTCAAAACCTGAGCTGCATCTGACTTCGGAGCACGTCCTTTCCTTCACAGATCACATTTCTGCCGGGCCTGGGGCCCTGCCACGCGCGGGGCTGAAGCCAAACTGCCCTCCTGCCTTCATGATCCGCGCTCCGATCATGCGTGTGTCGCACAGGGAAGGGAGACAGCAGCGGGAGAGCGCGGCCCGGGCTCCTGACGCGGAGCTCAGGGTGTCGCTTACCGTATCGTGGGGCTACCGCCGGTCCTCCCTGCCCCGCTGCGGCCGGGCGCCTCCGGAGCCGCTTCCCG